TTCTTTTAACTTTTGAAATTCCATTTGCAATTCTTCAACAGATAATGCCATTTTTTTAAAAAAAAACCCAACCCAAATGTTTTTAATCTTTCAAAAAATAGTTCCCAAAAGTCACAAAGTCACAAAGCAGTCCAAATCAAGACAAACTATTTCATTAGTACTTTCTTCTTTTTATATTTTCTCTTCCTGGGGTAGAATTTAATTACACAGTTCCAAAATAATTTTTTAGAAGTCTTATTGCCATTTATTTCTGGTCTTATAAACTCCAAGCAGTCTCCTCCAGTACAATCTTAAAATAAGTTCTTTACCTCTTCCTCCCCACTTATAGCAAAAAGATTTTAATTTTTAATTCCAGTATTCAAGAATCTTTTACCCCCTTGGCTTTAATTTTCAAGTTTAGTTACCTTCTGTGCCCAAGAAGGTTTTTCAGATTTCCATCTGCTATTTCTGTAGGGAAGGAGAGTGAGAGAAAATAACTTTCCCCAAACTTTCTTCCGCCGTTTTTCCAGTCTTCTTGGGAAACAATGTATCATTCAAGAGATTAAATTTCCAGGGTATTCAGAGGTTCCTTGTTGTTCCGGTTCAGCCAAAAACTTTCACTTTCTCCAACTTCCTCCTGCACAATCTTGTCTGGCTGCAGGCTTCTTTGTGGCGGACATTGCTGACCGCCGCTCCACCACCTTGGGAAAAGGGAGTTTAGCCGGCTGAGGAGGGGGATTGCGATATCCCCAAGCCCCTACCTGGATCTCCCCTATCTTCGATTGCCTCTACGGGGCAACCATATCCTCCAAATCCAGCTGGATCGGAGGCACTTCGGCGGCGAGCGCAGTGGGAACCATGCACAATCGCAGATTCCTGCCGCCGCCATAGCCTTGCAAACTGGAAGTCCTAAAATATATTGGAATTTTTTTTATAAAGCAAATAAGTTGTAGGGCAGAAGGGATTGATTAAGGAAGCTACAGTAGGCTTAGCCTTGCGTGTTCCTATTTCTCTCTTTTAGTTTCCCATATTCATATTTGTGAAGAAAGTTTTGTGAGAGGTAATTTGGATAGGGTAAAACAACAATCTGAGGTGGGGGAGGAATCAACAGCACTTTTTTCTGAATTAGATTTCCTTTTTCCAAACACTATATTTTCCAGCTCTTTGTATAATATGCAAATAGAAAACTTATTTTCTGTGTCCAAATATCACAACATTGTTGAATGTTCTCTTGCTTGCTTAAATTACAAAGCAATTCCTATGCATATTATTTAGACCTGTGCAGAGTGGATCTGCTATGTTGGCTTCAGTCATTGTTGCAGTCCTTAATTTTGAGGAAAAATCTTGGAAAAAGTTGGAAAATAAGAACTCTGTGTCTCAAATTGAAATACTGAAATGGGCCAAATTAATTCAATTGGAAAAGAAGTGGAAAGAGGCCTCTGCATTGAGGCAGTTTTAGTATTTCAATCTCAATTTGAAACCCTGCATAGTCTTTTTTTCCCCTTCATTCTGCTCAATACTATAATGGCTTTTATTACCATTTTTTTAACAAAAATTTTATTGGTTTTTGAGACAAACATAGACAAACAAAACATAAAAACATCAAGCCATCTTCCATATATATACATACAGTGTGCCGGTTGATTTACAAATTGTTTTGTGCTTCCATTTCATAGTCTTCAATTACAGTTACATTATATATATTCTCATATTTTCAATCAAATATTAAATACATTAATATCATTGTTAATCATTTGACTATACTTTTATTCATTCATGTTTTATGAAATAATCCATATTTTACTTAATTTGTTTTATGACAGTTCATATTATCATCTCAAATCTATCCTACAATCATTTTGTAGATATAATAAGAAAAGAATACATCTTTATATATTTATTATTTTTGAAGAATCTACATATTTCATTACCATGTTCTATTGTCTAACCATTGATAGAATAGATTCTATATTTTATAAAATGGTTTATCCTCTTGTTCTCTGATTTCAAATGTCAATCTACTCATTTCAGCACATTCCAATATTTTCTTAATGATTTCCTCCTGTAATGGTATTTTCTCATTTTTCCAGTTTTTAGCAAATACAATCCTAGCCGCTGTTAATACATTTACAATCAGGTATTTCAATTCTTTACTATATATTTCACATAAAATTCCCAATAAAAATATCCCTGGTTTCAAGTCTATATGTTTTTTTGTCATTTTTTCCAACCACATGTGGATTTTAGTCCAGTATTTTTTAGCATCCGCACAACTCCACCACATACGGTAATATGAGCCAGGTGTTTGATGACATTTCCAACATTTTTCGGATTTATTCTTGAACATGCTTGCTATTCTTGTCGGGGGGAAATGCCACCTGTAAAACATCTTATACAAATTTTCTTTATATGCTGTTGACATTGTCATTTTATAATTTTGAGACCACAATTTTTGCCATTTCTCTAGATCAATCCCATATCCAAAATTCTTCCCCCAAGCACTGTTTCATTGTTTCTTTAACTTGTTCTTCTAATTTAATTTCTAATAAATATCCATACAATTTTTTAATCACCTTTTTATCAGTACCTGTCAAAATCTTATCTAAATCAGTCAGTTTATCATAGAAACCTTCTGTTTTAGAGTCTTTATCATACCTTGAATGTGTTTGCGCATATGAAAACCAATTCATCTTTATACCTTGTTTCTCTAATTTTTGCATAGATTTAAGTTCACCCTTTTCATTCAATATTTTACCATATCTAACTGTTTGTTCCTATTTATATATTATAGCATAAGAAAATGCTTCAATAGTCGATATCCAGACTGGAATTTTCAAATAACATTGTCTTTTAGTCTTCTCCCAGTTTAACCGCAGAGACTCCCGTATATAATGTCTTCTAAAATACCCCTGTGTTTTAGTTTCTTTATACCATAGAAAAGCATGCCACCCCAACAACAGATCATGTCCTTCTAATGTCAGCAATCTAGTATTTCTTAATGTTATCCATTCCTTAACCCACATCAGATTTGTAGCTTGGTAATACAATTCCCAATTAGGCAACCAAATCCTCTTATTCTGGCATCTTGCAAAAGTTTTAACTTTATTCTCACTTTCTTACCTTGCCATATATATTTCAATACAATTTTATCTAAATCTTCAAAATAATCTTTTCCAAGCCTAA